ACCGGGGCGCTGGCGGGCTGACGTGCCGGGGAAAGCCTCTCCCAGCCGGGCGCTTCGCCTCCTCTCCTCCGCCCACAGCGCAGCGGTGGCAGCCGCTTTCCTCCCCCCTCCGGCTGCTTCCACGATTAACCGCCGTGCCGGGCTCTCCCCACCGACCCCGGGAAGCTTTCCGCTGGGAAGAGAAAGGGAGGGAAAGGGGCAGCTCGGCCCCTTTTGCCGGCACAGCTTAGGGGGAAGAGATGTGGAGGGGGCAGAGGACACGCTTGGGGACTCGGGCTGGTGTCCCCAAGCGCTGCGGCGGGGGACTCGGTGGAGACTATGGCATGGTCCATGGCACATCTATGGACCACTGCGGCAGCACAGCACGGCACGGGTCCTGCAGACACTGCCAGCCACCCAGCCCCAGATTTCCCCGTTGGATCCCAAGGGCTGGGAGCAATTGCCGGGCCCCCAGAGCTGGCGCACGGGTCCGGTACAGCACCAAGCCAGTGACAAACAGGAAGATCACGGCTGCGGTATCGAAAAAGCCTTTTCACAGATACGAGATCACGTCCCCAGCCCCTTGCTCCCTGACGGCAGGAAGCACAAAACAGAGAAACCGCAAGAAGAAGAGGCGGCGTGGGTGCAGCGGCACGAGGGACGTGCGGGGCAGAAGCATCCCTTCTTCCCCGCAGCCCGGCATGAGCACGCCGGGGAGGGCGGCCACACGCTCCGTGCTCACTTGTGCTTCCTTCACCAGCCCTGTCGTGAGGCTGCCCGCATCCAGATGTGCCGGCAGATCCCAGCAGCCCCTTCCCCCTTTTGGGAGGGATGCCCCTTCCGAAGGGGAAGGGGCAGGGGCCGTCGCATCCCTCCCAAAAGGCCACCGTGCCCCGGCCGCTCCATCTGGGTCCCATCTGCTGCTGTTGGCTCCCGTCCCTTCCCCCACCCCTAAACTCAGATGTATTTAAACACACACATCAAAGGCACCGGGCAGCCCCCAGGGAGCCCCAGCTTGCAGCACATTTCCTTCTATTAGCCGAAAGCGGGGCGCAGCGAGCTCCAGCACTGGGAGAGAGCGGGAGCGTCCCTGCCTCCTTCCAGCCCGGCTCAGCCGGCACGGGGAAGGCGGCGCAGGGGGCAGCCAGGGTGCTTTCTGCCCAGTTTCACTCTTCAATGGCATTTTGGTGGCAGCAGGGGGGCAGCTCTGCCCCCAGGCATCCGCGAGGCCGGAGCTGTCCCACCAGGCATCACCTCTGCGGTGATGGTGATGGGGAGTAAGCCAGGTCCCCACCGAAAACGGCTTGGGGAGGGTGGAGAAGAGGAAAACCAAGAGTCCCTTCAGATTTGCAAGTTTGGGGTGGTTTTTTCCATCATTTTCAGCAAGAATCCTCCCAGGTCCCTGCAGCAAACCCCATCACACCGCCCGTCCGCACCGGGGCCAGGCCACGGTGCCAACTGGGACACAGGATCCCACCAGAGCCACCAACCAAAGTGACAGGGGAGGGGACGAGGCTGAGCCCAAGCACTAAAACCCCGGAGAAATCCCACGCTTTCTTAGCGGCAATGACGGCAGCTTGATCTGAGAAGAATGCTGCCGGAGGTGGCACTGCCAGAGGCGTCTCACCACGGCTCTCAAGGAGATGCCACGGTGCCAACTGGGACACAGGATCCCACCAGAGCCACCAACCAAAGTGACAGGGGAGGGGACGAGGCTGAGCCCAAGCACTAAAACCCCGGAGAAATCCCACGCTTTCTTAGCGGCAATGACGGCAGCTTGATCTGAGAAGAATGCTGCCGGAGGTGGCACTGCCAGAGGCGTCTCACCACGGCTCTCAAGGACGCAGGGATGCGCGGCAGATCCGAGGAGCAGGGGAGGGACGGGCACGGGGGGGGGCCACGCGCGTCTCGGCAGGCACCTACTTGCTTGAACTGTTCCTCGTAGGTCCAGTCGCCGTGGTCAGGCGCCGGCGGCGGGGGCTGCGCATGGCCCAGTCCGGAGGGGAGACGCTCCTGCCCGCCCGGCAGCCGCCGCGGGCGCCCGCCCCGGTAGTGCTGGGGTGCAGGGGGTTTGCGGAGCAGCAGGGATCCCGCACCCGCCCGCACCGCCTCTGCTGAGCTGAGCCCTTCCTCTCCCATGTCTTCCTCCTCCTCGTAGTCTTCCTCTTCCTCCTCCTCCTCGTCTTCCTCTTCCTCCTCCTCTTCACCCAGGTCCTCTTCAAAGTCATCTTCATCCCACTTGCCTTTCCTAGAGCAGGGGGCAGAGGAGAGATTTGGTCCCACGCTAGGCAGGGGGCTGGGTCCCCAAAGCCGATTCCTCTCCCCTGCCTGCCCGCCTCACAAGCACCCCACAGCCGTGGGGCTGGGACCACCCGCCTGGCACACGGGGAACCCAGCGAAGCCCCGGCGCACCCCTGTCGGCGGGTGGCAGCCCCCGTGGGGCACCACCGGCCACTGGCATCCCAAGACAGCAGACAGCACCAGCCCCGTGGGGCACCACCGGCCACTGGCATCCCAAGACAGCAGCTCCGGCGGCGAGCGGGGCTCTGCCAGATGGCTCCCAGCCTGTTCCCTGCCCTGGAGAGAACGCGGGCTGGGAGGAGGTGGCCACGAGGTCCCTGCATAATTTAAAGCCAGACCGGGATCCTCTGTCACGGCCCCACGTGGCTCCCTGGGCAGAGATGAAATGTCGCCCCACGCCAGCCCGGTACGAGGAATCACGGCTGCCAAGCCGAGCTGCTGTTCTCGGCACCTCCTGCTCCAGGACATCCCGACAGTGCCAATCCACCTCCCCACCCCGAGCTGCACGAACCCAGCCGCCCGACACAGCACAGGCAGCCCCCCGGCAGCCTCCACCACCGCTCCCCTGCCCCAAAAGGAAGCCTGCGTCCCCAGCCGGCCGTGCCAAAACCCACTGGGGCCAGACCACGTCCCTGCCCCTTCCCTGAAGCCATAAGAGCTGCTGGTCTGTGCTAGCGTATACTCACAGATCCTCCTCGTCCTCCTCGGAGCCCATCTCCTGCTGGTACCCGCCATCCTCCTCCTCTTCCTCGCCGTGCTCTTCCTCTTCCTCCTCGGAGGCCTGGCTCTCATCCGACAGCCCTGGGCTGGATGAGTGGCTGAGGCCAGCGGCCGCTGCCCGCATGGCGGCCAAGGCGGCCATCTGCGCCCGCTGGATGTGCGCGCTCTCGGGCTCTGCTCCTTCCTCCGAGGGTGCCGGGGCTGGATCCTGGCCCCGGCC